AGCATACCGAAGAAATAGTTAATGCTACACTCAAAGAAAGGAAACAGATACTATTCAAAATAGAAAATCTAAATTAATTAAACTAGAAAAAATTGAAAATTAAAAAAAGAAAAGTTATGTCCAAAACATAGTTAACCTAAATACCTAAATATTTAACTGTTTTTTTTTAAAAGCATTTATTATTTTCCACTACAAAAATTGATACAAGTTGAGTAAAAAAGCATATAAGAATATAAGGAAAACAATTTGCGACTTGTTGAATTCTTCAAATTGTGCATTTAAACCTGAGTTTATTTCCTGATGAACTATTGTTATTGATAATGCTCCAAAAACTTGTAGGCTAGTGCATTGTTAATTTACTAAACATTTTTAATAATTATAATGTTCATTGGCTCTAGTATTTTGTATTAACAATGGAAATTAGACAATATAATAGAAATAATTTCAGACAGGCATCAAATGTGGTAAATACATTTATAAAACAAACCGTGCTATTTTTTATTTAATTTCCTCCATCATTACAAAATTTGTTAATCTAATAATATATTTTACAAATAAATAGCAATTTATTTTCTTATTTTCCTATTATATAAGCATTGAGAAAAATGTCAAATATAGCAAAAACTTTTTTAAAAGCGAAAGGAGGTGAAAAATAATGAACATAAGAAAAAAAAAATTACAATATTTCTTTTAGTTCTAATGTGCATAGCAAATTAGTTTCTTAATATATGGACTGATAAAATCATGAATAAATTGCATAACAAAACGTTCAATTGTTGCTAAATTGTTATAAAAAATGTTTTTTTTTTTCAACTTGCATCAATTTCGGTAGCTGAAAAGAACAACCACCTTAAAAAAAAAAATAACAACCACCTTAAAAAAAAAATAACAACCATCTTAAAAAAAAAATAACAACCACCTTAAAAAAAAAATACAAGAGTTGTATAAAAATTTTTTTTTTTAATTTTAATTTTTTAATTATTAAATTTTTTAGTTTATTTAATTAAAATTTGATATTTCATTACAATTTTGTTTCCTTTTTGTAGTATTAGTTTTTTTCTCTCAGTAGATAAGTTTATCTTCTTGTCGCGAATTATTGAAACACTTCAAAAGTTAAAAGATGCCAACTGCCGTGGTCAGTGTGTCTATAAAAATTACTTTAAATGTTGACAAACAAAGCGTGTGAATGCACACTTTTCCTGGGAATGCTTGTAATAGAAACCTAAAGCTATTTAAAATTATGTACCTTTAAATTCATAAAGTATTAACCTAAACACTATACATACAATATATGTGTATGCTCATACATTTATAAATAATCTCTCATTTTAGATAAATCTATATTTAAAAGTGCTGCTCGTAAATAGCTTGTAAATATTATACTGTTGTAATGGTGATAAAAAGTTTAAATTCATGGCCTTTTTAAAGAAGTATTGCCACTGCAATATTTCATTAAAACAAAACAAGTATAAATAAGAGTATAAAGTTTCCATGATACCCTGCAATGATACCTGCAATGATACCTTGCAATGAAAGCTGTAGTTAGTTTGTTGTCATCAAAAAAATTTATAAAACTTTTTGGATCACCTTTGATATCTATAAACTGCATAGCTAGAATTTTGAACATCATACAAATCATTTTCAAATGACAAATAGCTTTTGTGCTTTTAAAGTTTTACAAAAAATTGCAATTGTGTTTGAAAGGTACAAATGATAGTTCAGCTCATCTAAGTTCTTTCTCCAGGTTTTACAACTTTGCTTATAGTAAGATGGTTAACTGCAAATTTGTCTGACTTTGTATTGTATATATTAACAATTATTTATCAATCCTTCACAGATTAAATTTTGAAAAAAAAAATGCTGCATAATCAATAGATTTGCATGTGTGGTTTTTCCAATCATAAGCTATCCTTATTGCCCTTGTATTAGATCTAATCTCTGAGTCTTTTTGGGGGATTTTTATTCCTTATCTTTAATCACAATCACCAATATTTCTTTAAAGCATTCTCATTTAATAATTAGAACTCATAAGGTTTCGAACTATTTCTATAACCATTTTTGGTAGCCATGCTTATCATCCTTAGAAATTTAGCAGTTATTGTGAAGAAAGATATTTATTTTTCTTAATGAAATGATAATCAAAGTTCTGTCTTGAAGACAGAATTATGTCTTATAGACATGGTTCAAAATTCCTGCAATTAAATATTGGCACATGGAGGAAAAAGTTTCAAATCCTCCTGTTTCCATAAGAGCTTTCGATGAGAAGCACAAAAATGTTGCAACAAACTCACTAAAAGATATTGGTTACATTTTTAGTTACATTGCTTATTGGTTACAACATTGATTGCAATATCTTAAGGGAAGACAATCTATTTCATTCTAGTGCAAGTGAACTCATCAGATCCAATTATAATTTCACATTGAGTATAAAATCTAAAAATAAAACATATTTTTCCATGTTACTGATCTTTTAATATTTGAAAAATAGACTTAAATAAATATAGTGAGGAAGTGATGATAATAAATCAACAACAAAGATGTTTATTAATTTAATGAAAACTTTAACATAGGAGTTTATAATGATTAGAATAAAAAACTTAATTTTAAAAAGTGCAAAAGGTTTCAAAAAACATTTTCTTAAAAAAGCTTATTTTTTATGATTTTTCCTAAAAATTATTTTTTTGATCTTTTAAAGAAACATACAGAAGAAAAAGAAGGGAGGACAAATAAGCTTCTCTCAAGTTTTCTATTTTTATTTTTGCTATGAGTGTTTTTTCAATTTATTATTTTATTTTAGATTAAGTTTTGATGGGTTATCGCTACTTTTAGGCTATATTTTGGTGTTTTACCTCTCACCCTCCTCCTTAAAAAATTCCTTTTAGGTGTAACTTCTGATCAAACTGACTATACCCTTTCTCTTTACCCCTCTGCCAATATTGTTGTTATAGGTGACTTTAATGCTCATCACACTGGATTGCTTGGCTCTAACACCACTGACCCTGCTGGCAATAAAGCCCACATTTTTTGCATTACTCAAAATCTTACTCAGATTTGTTTTATAGTAACTACTAGCATAATAGTGGTTGCTTGCAGCCTTGTTGGAAGTGAATCAGAATTTAAAAAAAAAGGAATCAGAATTTAAAAAAAAAGGGCTAGGTTTGGTACAAAATATTTTCATCATGCAAGTTAGAATCAGGATATGTATGGAAATCTATTTTATATACCGAATCTGAGTTGACCAATACTTTAAGTTCAGATTGCTTTGTTGCAATAAAAGTTGTATTGATAAGATAAAATAGATATATATATCATATCAAATTGCATTGTTGATGGGATTAAAAATGTATAGACAGCTGGGCAGAAAAGCAAGTTCTTTTAATTATTGATATAAATAAATAACTTTTTGTAACGAGGTCACAAGCCTTCAATTTAATGAAAAGGATTTAGCTAAAAGTGAAGGCTTGTGACCTACAGTTACTAATATGTGCATTCGATCAATTGAAATCAGTTCTGTAGAACTCAGGTTTGTGTCTGATGCATCCAAGAATTGAGTGTGTTTAACTTTCTATTCAATCGTAATTTTTGATCTATTAATACTAGAAACTGTTGATGTCTGCAGGTGTGACAATGCAGGTATGACGGTGCAGGTGTGACGGTGCAAGTGTGACGGTGCAAGTGTGACTGTGCAAGTGTGATGGTGTAGTACATTAGTAAGTTCTGTTTGGTTGTCTGGTATGGTCTTGTGTTGCACAAAGAATTTAATATTATTGTTTTAGAAAAACTTTCTTTTTATTATTCATCAAAAAACAACTTTTTATTGATGAATAAAGAACAATTATTTAAAATTTAATAAAAATAATAAAATAAAATCCCACTTAGGAATGGTAAAATGTTTCAAACTTGATTTCACGACAAATAGGCGAGTGGATGCATAAGAATATTCCTAAGCCAAGCATGTAACAGTTGGAGTCTTTGGTAATCAAAGGATAGTACCCATCAATAATAAGATTTGAAAAACTGAATAATCTCACAAAGATCAAGTAAGTCTAGTGAATTTTGCAAGAAGTAAGAATTAACTGATGAATAGTTACTTCGAAGATTAGGAATATTTGTAGAAGATATTTTGAAACAGTTAGGTAGTGGGGATGAACAAAAGTGTGTCTGGGCCAAGTTCAGAGAGTTATGTCCTCTTTTAACAGCAAGAGGGGCATGACTAAAGATGAAGGTAAAATTATATACTACATGCATTTTATGATGTGTAGGGCAATAAAGCTAAATAAGGGCAATAAAGGTGTCCATTATAATGAAAGAACAGAGACAGTCAAAATAATGAGTGTTGTGACTATAAGATAAGAAAATTAGTAATACACTTGGACTAGACTTAAAATTATATTATTTTAAAGGTAGTTTAGGCATGTAAAACTTAAGTATGCTATTGATCTTACACCCAATCAATTATAGAGAGCTAGCAATTTCATAGTAACTAAAGAGAGCTTAAGTCTATTAATTAGGTCTTACACCCAATCAATTTTAGAGAGCTAGCAGTTTCATAAGAAAATGACTAAGTTGACAAGTTATTAATAGAAATTCAGTAAAGCTTGAATCTGAAGCTTGAAACAAACGTTTAAATAACATAACTAAAAACAAGCATCAAATTTGTTACAAAGTATACTAGTATGACAACATTACACTAAACATCAAAGTATTTTTATATAACAACATCACATGAAACATCAAAAAAAAATTATTAATATGAGTAAACAAGTTTGTTTACTCATGTATAAATATAAAGTTATGAAGCGCCCAAATTTTCTAAATTTTTATTTTAGTTTAAATTTCTGATGATTTATAATTCTCCAATAAAAGCTTAAAATAGTCATCTTTGATGAGTATTTTAAACTTTTATTGGAAAAATTAATGTATTTATACATTATATTGATAATCAATAATATATTTGATATTAAAAGAATTTTTAAATATATCTGTATGTTTTTTCATAGGTTGGACAATATATTTTAGAAAGTTGTAGACAAGCTCAAAAGCCATGTCATATTATTTGTTCGCAACCAAGAAGATTATCTGCAATATCTGTTTCTGAACGTGTTGCTTCTGAGCGAGGTGAAAGGATTGGTCAAACGGTGGGATATCAAGTTAGACTTGATAGTAAGTTATCACCCAAAACAGTTTTACAGTTTTGTACAACTGGTGTTTTGTTACGTTTACTAATGGTTGGGCACAAAAGTTTGGTCAATGTCTCTCATGTAATAGTTGATGAAATTCACGAAAGAGATTCGTTTACTGACTTTTTACTTATATGTCTAAGAGACTTGCTTAAGTCATACAAAAAGCTTAAGCTCATTCTAATGAGTGCTGCACTCAATGTTAATTTGTTTAAAGACTATTTTGAAGACTGTCCGACAATTCATGTGTCAGGAAATCATTTTAATGTACAGACATTTTTTCTTGAGGATGCTTTGAGACACACTGGCTATGTTAATAAAGCTATGAAAAAGTTAATGAGGGATTCTGATAAAAATCTTTTTTGGCGAGACGACCTGGCTAATCAAGAAAGTGTTGAAGATAAAAGCAATGACCAAAATGAATCATTTAAAGCTGATACAATATCAAATATTGAAAATATAGAAAAATGTGAAGCAAAACGTGATTCTGTTGATAATAGGTAAACTAATTTTAAATAAAATTTTACATTTGTGCTAATATTTACCTATGTTCTAATAACAGTTTTAAAAACTTATTGCTATTTATCTATCTATCTATCTATCCTATCTATCTATCTATCTATCTATCTATCTATCTATCTATATATATATATATATATATATATATATATATATATATATATATATATATATATATATATATATATATATATATATATATATATATATATATATATATATATATATATATATATATATATATATATATATATATATATATATATATATTTATATAAAGTAATATAATCTACAGACATGTTTTACTTTTATTGAATCTATACTGCAGGCTCACAACAGGTTTTATTTTACAATATACAGGTCTTGTTATGAGATTTTGTTGTGTAATGCAAGTAAATGTAACTTTGCTTTATAAACATATAATATAAACATATTTCATTAAACAATATTGTTATAAAAAAAAATTAATAATAAAATTTAAGTATGTTATTTGAAAAAAAAAATTGCTTATTTTAAAAACCTTTTTTTTAAACCTTATTTTTAAAATTTAAACCTATAGTTATTTAAACTTATCAATTTTATCTATTTATAAAACTATAAATAAATAAACAAATAGTAATGAACGAACATTTTTTAATAATGAACAAGCATTTTCAAAGTAACTTGAAAATGTAACATTTTCAAAGTAACTTGAAAAATTTTTTAATGAATCAAATTCATTAAAAAGAATTTTCTTTTACATAGTTTGAAATTTTAACAGTAAAAAAATTATAAAATGAATTGTAGGTGAAATCGCCATTTTGTATATAAAATTAGAATGGCATAATGCTTCTTATATATATATATATATATATATATATATATATATATATATATATATATATATATATATATATATATATATATATATATATATATATATATATATATATATATATATATATATATATATATATATATATATATATCATGCTCAACAAATTTTTAACAGTGTAATCTTGTTTTGAGAAATTTTAAAAAGTTTTTAATGTTTTGAGAAATTTTAAAAAAGCTATATAAAAAATCTCCCTTTTGTTTATTATAGTATATAATATCTTTATATATGTTATGCATATAATATTTAAAAATGTTTTTGTATTAAATTGGAAAAGATTTTAAAAAAACATTAAGTGTAAACGAAAGGATTTCAACCCACGCGAAGCACTTCAACCACTTTGGAATGCTATAATATCATCTTTTAACACTATTTAATAAACAAAAAAAATTATTATTTATTTAATAAACTTTATAAAACTGCATATAAATGCTATAAATCAAATTTAAGGCAATATTGCCACAATAAAATTTTTAAAGTAAAAGTAAATCTGCAAAATTTGATATAAATTTTAATAATTTACATAACTTGAAGTTACATGTTACAGGGTGTCAACCAATATTTTAAGGTGAATTTCTTAGATTTTTCCCTGATCCACTGTTTACTACCTGTTTTCCCTGATTTAATTTGAAGTTACTATAATTAAAAATCAGAAAAACCAGACTTGGATTCTTTTGGAAAAAAACCTCTTTAATTGCAAAAATGTAAACAATAATACAACAATAGTTTATAAAACTATTTGCTGAATAAAATTTTATATTATGTATATAAACTTACTTAATATAAAACTTACTTAAATTTTGTAGGTTTGTTGAAGAGCTGTTTTTCCTGATTTCTCCAAAATTTAACCTAATTTCTCTGATTATTACATAATTTTTTGCAGATTTTTAAATTCCCTGATCTAGCAGACACCCTATGTTAGATATTTGCATAGATTTTTGTTCACATAGATAAAATATGAACCATTATGGATTATGGTTTCAAAAAAATGTCTAATAGCTTTGTACAAGTAAAGTTATTTTAATTTACACATTTATTAACAAATTAACAAAACATAACAATTTCAATAGTTTTAAACTGCATGTCTATATTGAACAAACACATCATCTGATATATCTTAAAAAAGCAATTAAATTAAAGAAATACACCACATGTATTAACTGGAAATCAGTTTATTTATACATAATAACAAAACATAATATATAAAGAAAAGTATATGTTTACAAAAAAAGTTCAACTAACTTTGCATTATCAATTAACTATTGGTTGATTAACCAACTACATAAATACTATTTATAGATGCAGCATTTTTTTATATACCACTCTCTTTCCTCATACTTTACTTTCTACAAGAGCCACACTATATTAAATGCATATATATATAAAGGAGGAGGTGGAGTGCTTTTGCGCTTAATTTAAAAAATTGTTAAAGATTAAATCAAATATTGTAATTCGACCAAAATTTTTCTTAAAATTATTCTTACCTTGATTGCAAAAAACTAATTTATTATAAACTAATATATTATTTTGACATAGAGAATCATAAACACTGTCAAAGCAGCTCTCAAATCATTTTAATATTTTGCATGTTCTACTGATTTTTGATGGTGTTTAGTGTAAAAACAAAATGTACAACTTTTCGTTTTTTTATAAACATAACTTAATATTTAATTAAATTAATATTAAAAGAAAAAATTGTATTTTTTAACAAATTTATTTACAAACAAACTTTTAAAAATAGATCAATGAAAATATACATATTAAACTAAAAACATTCAAATGCCTCTTCTATTTATAGATGTATTTAAGCATTTTCCACTGCCCACTCTAACTTCTAAAAATTCTCTTTTGGTAAGGGTAATCCCTTCCCTTTAATAAATTGAGGGGAAATCTATTGAAATTATTATGTAGATATAAAGGACTTTTTTTAGAATTTGATGATTGTGTCCCTCCACTTTGAAACCCATGTCATTGGTCATAACAGAAAAATACAAACTGCTACTTAAAACTTCACAACAACATAGAAAATCAAACACATTTAAACAACCTATAAGTAAATGTATAATTTCATTATATAATACTTAAACTTCATTATATAAATACTTTAAAAAATGAAGATAAAGATTCATTTTTAAATTAATATTTATCTTTATTAAATTAATTTTATTATTATCTTATTTAAATTTATTTATTTATTAAAATATTTTTTAAATTTTAAATTAATTACAAACTTTAAAAAATGAAGATAAATTAGAGTTTAAAACTTACAATATGTGATAAGCTAAAATTAAAATAACAATCAAATATTGTTATTACATTTTTTACAGTTTAGAATGTTTAATGAGGGCACGCTCTCATTAAACATTCTAAACCGTAAAAAATTGCTGTAAAACTCTAAATTTTCTTATTATATCAATATTAAATAAATATAACTTTTATTTATTTTTAAAAATAAGGAAGTTCATAAAATGGTTTAATTTAGATATAAAATTAAAATTTATTATTATGTTTTTATTAAAAACATACTTTTTGAACCCCCTTACTGTTTAAAAAAAAGTTAAGTTCATGACAAGACCAAATTATCAGTGGCCGTATTCTCATCTCTTCGTTAAGCTTAACGGAGCATTTGTTAAAAAGTTCTTTTTAACTACATTAATAAAAAAAAATAAAAAAAAAAAATAGTTTTTTAAATAAAATTGTTTTATTTTAGTCTTAATTTTATTAAACAAATTTAAAGTTTTTGTCATTTCTTAACTTAGCAAATGTTTAATGAAATTTTTGAGAAACGCTCCATTAAGCCATTAACGGAGAGATGAGAATACGGCTGCTGCTTGTTTGTTTTTTAATTTTTGTTATTTAAAATGCAAAACAAAAAAATTTTTTAGTTCTATAGATTTTATATTTTATATATAAACATGTTGTATACTCATTTTCCTTGCACGAACTTAACTTAGTTGTAAAAAAACTGGAAATGTAAAACTAAAATAACATAAGTGTCTCAATCATCACACATACGCAATTTCCCCCCATTTTTTTATGTTTTTAGTGTCAATGCAGAGACTTCCGGAATGGCGGGCGCTTTTTTAAAACAAATTTTAGAAATAAAGTTAAACAAAATAATAATAAAAGGAAAGATAAAGAAAAAAGAATAAAATAAGAAAAATAAATGAAATAAAAATATAGAGAATGAAGAAAAGAAAAAAAGAAAAGAAAAAAAGAAAAGAAAAAAAGAAAAGAAAAAACTAAAAAAAAATTTAAAAAACCAATCAAACAAAATAACAAAAGAAAAAGTAAAGACAAAACACCAAAGCTAAAAGAAAAAAAACATTTGAAAATAAAAAGGAATTAAAATAAAGTATAAAAATTTCTCCCTTTTTGAAGAAAGTAAAAAAGAATATTTTTTAAATTTTATTATTTTTGTGTGACGATATGTGTTTGCTTAAATGATTTACTTTTTTATTTTAATATTGTTATTTATTAAAGCTCTATACTTTTCGTGAATAAATGTTTGTGTGTGTGACACGCTTTTATTTGTGAGTATTATTGAATAATTTTTGTTTTGTTTTTTGTTATTTTTTAATGAAGTATTTATTTTACTTTTATTGTTTTTATTATGATTATTGATATTAAGATTATATTTATTAAACCATTGTTACTTTTTTTTGCAGTAATTGTTTTAGTTGCAAGGTAGGTTGTTACGTTTTGTCAGTACATAACTGTTTGTAACTTTTCTGTCTGTGCATTATATTCAATTGTTGTTTTCAAATTGATATTGGTTTATTATCATATAATTTTCTTATTATTCTTATAACTTTTAATTTATTATTATTATTATTATCATTATTATTTGTATTATCAATCCTATTTCATGGTATTTACTTAAGATTAGTTTTTAACTATTTGTAAATGATCTCGAACAAAAACTCTTATTCGTCTAGTTTTTTTCCTCGAGCATCAGTTCTTTGGAATTCGCTTCCTTCATCTTGCTTTCCTGATTCATATAATTTGCAATCTTTCCTGATTCATATAATTTGCAAGTCATCTGTCAATCGTTATCTTGCTTTACTATCTTTATCTTTTCTCTTCCAGTAACTTCCAACACTAATTAGTGGTTGCTTGCAGCCTTGTTGGAAGCGAAGATGTTAAAAAAAAAAAAAAAAAGTGAAAGTAAAACTGTAAAAATTTATATATGTTTAAGTAAGCTTTAACATTACATAATTTGAAATTTAAGTACATTAGATATTTGCATACACTTTCGTTCACATTTTCTTATAAAACAAAATGCTGCGACTCTTCTTGCTATTACCTCAGTTGCAATCGCTGTCAAGAGTTTTGTGTCAAACACGCAAAAATGAGTATTACTACTACTACTACTACTACTACTACTACTACTACTACTACTACTACTACTACTACTACTACTACTACTACTACTACTACTACTACTACTACTACTACTACTACTACCACTACCACTATCACTACTACTACTAAGTTCAGTAATAATATATAGTGATTTGTATTGGATTGTTTAAACTAAGATTTTCCATTCAAATTTCAAGCTTTCTATTTAATAAAAGTTGTAAATAACTTTTATTAAATGTTTTATATAACTTTTAAAAACTCAAAGAAATTTATTTATTTTATTACATAACTACTCTTAATTTTGATAGAATGTGAAGCATTCTAAATTTAGATCTTTGTTATAATTAACAATTTAAAAATATCTGGAAAAAATCGATCAAAACTTCTAATCTTCCAAAATCAATTTCTGATTTAAAGCTACATAACATCCATAATACAAATTTTTTTTGCTATCTTATGATTTGATTCTAATTGATTTAAAGAAAGAGTGAATTTAATAAAAAATCAATATAAAAATAAAAATTACAACCAGGTTCCCATTACTATCAAATTACTTTCAGTAAAACCTATTGTTTAAGTTGATGAGTTTTAAATCCTTTTATAAATTGATTTCATTGATGGTTCATCTATGAAATCTGAGAGTTAATGGCTCAAAATCTGACCATATGTATGACATTGGTTACAAAAGCAGTGTTAACTTCCTTGTTAAATGCTCCTCCACAGTACTTGGTGATAAGTTTTTCAAGGAGCACCTTAAAAAAACTGAAAAGAAAATCTATTGAATTTATCTATAGAATCCATCCATGCTAGTCATCTGTGAAATTCATCCATGTTGGACATTTATGGAACCCACTTGTAAAATCCATGGAGTCTATGGAATCTATGGAGTCATTTCATAAAAGGTGGTTAGGCACTAAAAAATCTGATTGCAAGCAACTTTTTTAGTTTGAGCTTTTTCTTTTTTGTTTTCATATATTCATTTTTTATTTATAGTTGTAGAAGTATAAAACAATAAGTTATGAAATTTTTTTTGTAACATTGTCTAATCAATGCTGTTGTTAATGACTTCATTTTTGTCAATAGTTTATCAGAAAAACAAGAATCAAATGCATTGGTGGAAGGCGAAGAATTAGAAATGAATCAAATTGATAAAAAAGTTGAATTACTTGATATTTCTCAAGATGATGAATTAAAACATAGCGATGAGGAATCAATTCATGATGAGGATGATGATGAAATAATTATAGAAGATGATGAAAATCCAGGTGTAGAAGAACAAGAGTGTGATATTAACTTTTCTGAGGAAATGGATTCATACCTTGGTATATTTATATTTTTAACTATTTTAAACCTTTTATTATTATTTTTTTTTAATTTTACCTATTACTTTACGATTTTTCTTTTTTATAAACAAGTGAGCTAAATATAAATGTGAAAAGTGTATTTTAACTCATTTCTAATAAAAATATGACAACATTACATAAGCAAGGTAAAGTATAGAATATTTTTATAATACTTTGATAGTAAAATATATCATTAAGTAAAAATATTATATATTAATATATTAAATATTAGTATATTAATATTTAAAAAAATATATAATTAAATAAAAATATTATATGTTAAATAAAAATATGAAAAGTGTATTTTGGTGCATTTTGGTGCATTTCTAATAAAAACAATAAGTTAGGTAAAATATAAAATGTTGATTATAGAGGTTTGATGGTATAAAAAAATATATCAGTAAAAGTATAAACTACCAGTAAGAACTATAATAGAAATGTTAACAAGACATTTGTAATTTTTGTTACAGTTGGGTATTAAGGGCATGTTTTTTGAGTGCAAAAACAATGCGCTAAACATTTACAATTTTTATTTTACTTTTTAAATATAGAACTTTATACTGTAACCATGCATTAGTGTCAACCATGCATTAGTGTCAACTATGTAATAGTCTTAACATAAAAATGTACTAGCAAATGTACTATAAGTATTAGCAAGACTAGCAAAAAATAAATCAAATAATATTTCAGTGGCTGTGGTAAACCTAACCTACCTAATAGAAAAAAACCTCCATTTAGTTGTGGGTTAGAGTAGGATACTTATGGATATAATCTTAGCATAAGTTCTTTGCATTATAAAAAGTAAATGGAATTATATGAAAAATTGAAAAAAAAATGTATATATCATGCTCCCTTGTCAATAAGAAAGCAAAAATTGTGATTAAATGTGACAAAAAAAGAAAAAAAGGTCCTCAGAACAGCTACAGAACTCGTGAACTTTTACACCAGTACAAATTTGCGTAACATATGAGGTACTTTTTTTTTACAGGTGTTCCCAAATAACTTCTGGATATATATATATGGATATATATATATATGGATATATATATATATATATATATATATATATATATATATATATATATATATATATATATATATATATATATATATATATATATATATATATATATGGATATATATATATATATATATATATATATATATATATATATATATATATATATATATATATATATATATATATATATGGATATATATACAGGCCTTGGCGGGAATAAATGAGCACAAGAGCAGAGAAAAGCTCTCCTAAAACGAAATTGGGGAGCTGTGCGAGCTGCTACTCATATAAATCAGCGCTCTTTTGAACTTTAATTTTTTTTGCAACAACCCTGCTTTTTAAAATGCATTGCAGTATAATATGTAACTAGCTGGGGGGACCCGTAAAATACGGGTTCTTTACCAAACCGACCATTTTTATACTTATCTATAGCTATCCGGACGTAAACTAAGGGTCTTAGTAAATCTATTCCACACCGACCTTTTCTATACTTATTCCTTACCTCAATATTTTTTTAAAACCGTTTAAAAATGTACATATAAAAAACTATACTTACTTTTTGATATGACAAAAACATTTCTGTTAAAATGTTCTTTTAAAAACTTCAAACGATTTTAATATTATGCCAATTATAAAAATTTTAATAAGAAAAAACGTAAAAAAGACTACGAACTTAGAAAAATGCTAAAACATTCAACACGTGACGCCGTTAAAGTACGCCTTAGTTAACGTTCATAACATATACACATCTAATTAGATTTTATTTAAATTCAGTTGTTGCAAACTTGGCTTTGAATTTTTAATTACACTTCTTATGCGTCATAAATAATCTTAAATTCTAAATAGAAAATAAGTTTATGGGCTAATTGGTAGACGCGCAACACTTAGACAGATATAGTCATATCACCCCGGGAGTTCACACTCCAGTGACCTTTTTTTTTCATCCCAACTTACAACAAAAGTAATTAAAAATAAATAATATTATTGAAACAGTTTTAAACATTTCTTCCTATTTATCTTTGAACTTAACTTTATTCACTGCAAACATACTTTTGGTGTTTGTAAGCGTTATTTTACGTTTAGTATTTGTAGGAATTATTTGCACGCACGTATTTTAAACAATTATTTCTACTGTTTCATCTAAAAATCTTATTTAATTTAGTTTAATAATTTCTTAAATATAATATATATAATATAATTTAAAATATTTTATTAACCCTATTTAAATAAGTATCAAAACTCTTCCCTTTAATTTAAAAAGAATTTAAAATTAACGTAGGCTATAACGATATTTTACCCTTTCATCAACATTTATTTAAAAAGTAAATTTGGATATAGAAAAACGGGTTAAAGACTTATTATTTTAAATAAGTTAGCTTTATCTATTTAATGCTTTTCGTAAAAGCGTTTCTTTAAAGACTCTTAACAAATCATTCAAGCTGTTTTTACTGCCTGAGTTATTAAACCTGTTGTGTGTGCCAAAAATCGATACTTAATGCAAATGGAAACTTCGAGTGCTAATGGTGATTAAAGCATAAATGGTTCCTATTCATATATAATAAAAGGAAATATAAAAGACAAAGCAAAAATAATTTTTATATCCATTTAAAACAATAAATCCCAAAATAAAAAAATATAGATATTTACTTAAAAACATATTTTTCTTGATATAAAATAAAAATATAACCTTTAGTACAAATTACAAAAAAAAATTTTATTCAACAGAGCTACTTATAATACAATTTAAATTGAATCATTGTTTCATAAATATTAGGCTTTAGGTAAGCCATAATCAAGTCAGCTATAAGAAACGGAACTAAAAATGAAACAAAGTTATTTAAACGCAAAATCATACACATTAATTACAAATTAACATGTCATGCAATCAATACTTTTGAAAACTCAAAAATGCGAATAAGAAACTTACTTTTTTATTTTTACATAACCCTGACAGACCAACATGAATGTGAGCTAAATCTATTTGCATAAAACATAACAACAATTAATTAAATAGCAGAACCACCTTCAAAGGACAAAAAAATTAGTTTCTTAAGGAAAATTAGAGTTATTGGGAGGGGAGGTATTAATAAATAAAAAAGCTCAACTTGAATTTCAAAATTAGTTCATAGTTTTGTTGAGGGTTATTGAGTTATTCTGAGTTTATTATACATATTTTAAACAACTACCACACACTTTTAACACCACACACTTATATTCTTAGTTCTGGAAGGTGCTAAATAGAATTTGATTGTGTGAAAACCAAATCCCTTTGAGATTAACATTAACTTTATCAAATGTATGACCGTGACTTTTATTTCTAGTTAAAGAGCATTGTTGATAAAGGTGTCTTTATTTAAATGATTTACTTTGATAACATTTAACATTCATGGGAAAAATTAAAAAACAACACACAAATAAATTTACAAAAATATATTACAAAAAAAAAATTACAAAAAAAAAATGAAGTGGCTCAAAAGTTGTCAATTTCTTTACATTTTAAAATGTAAAAAAATTATTGACAACTTTTGAGCCACGTTGTCTTCTCCTCCCAGCATCCGCTCTATTCCCCGTGTTGTATGGAGTGCCATCCCTCCATCTAAAGGAGGGATGGTCGTCCCCATACAAACACCAGCGATGGAAGGCCCTCATAGATAGAGGGCCTGGATGCTGGGAGCGATACTTTCGGAAATCTTCCCATGACTTCGAGCCTGAAAAAAAAAATTATATATAAATACAACTATCTACCTAGGTAATACTTACAAAAAATCTACTGTAAAAAAACAATAAAAGCAAATAATGTAATAAATTAAGTACAAGTGAGCACAACAACTTATTTATTTTACTCACTAATACTTGACTTTACATACTTATACATTATATTTATAATATAATATATTAATTAATATTATATATATTAATACTTGACATTACATTAACTTATATATTAATACTTGACATTACATTAACTTATATATTAATACTTGACATTACATTAACTAATTAAACTGGAAAGCACATTTGTAGCTATATTAAAAAACAAAAGGTACAATAAAAGCAATCAATCAATGTAATAAGTCAAGTAAAGGTGAATATAACAACTTACTTGTAACAGAAGAAGCAGCAGCTAGAGATAAATAAAAGAAAATTAAAAATGCAATAAAAACAATCAATCAATGTAATAAGTTAAGTAAAAGTGACTTACTTATAACAGAAGAAGCAGCTAGAGACGATTTATCTCAGCTCGCCGGGGCTCATCTCGTTCAATTCGACGACGATTTATCTCAGCTCACCTGGGCTCATCTCTTTCAATTCGACGACGATTTATCTCAGCTCGCCTGGGCTCATCTCTTTCATTTCGACGGCGGTTTATCTCAGCTCGCCTAGCCTGCCTTCTTTCATTTTGACGAAGTCTAATAATTTCATTTCTTAAATTATTAGACATAATTAGGCATCAAAGGAGTGTGTAAAAATGATGCCTAATATAATAAAAGTTGAAGTTTCTTTTTTAAACTTATCTAAAATAAAGTGTAAGCAAATAATACAGAGCATAATACTATAATCTATTATATTCTACCATATATAGCATTGTGTTAAGATAACATAGTTTTATTAAAAACTTAAACTAAAGTTATAAATTAATATAATATTTTCAACTAAGTATTGTTTATATATTTATGGTAGTTGTTATTAATTATTGACAAAATATTATAAGTATTTAATCAAAAAAACAAAACAAAAAACAAATGTAATTTAAAAAACAATTTTTTTACATATAAGAACTCATAAATAAAGCAAATTAAAAAAATTTAGGCCTGTCAACTCAGCAAGTACTGCTAGCATGGAAGGATAAAATGTAATCATCCATCAACAAAACCCTTTCATTACTTTGAAAGGCATTTAACGCAAGATTTGCAATAAATAAATACAAAACTACTAAAAGAACCTCTATAAACAATCA